ATGGGAAAAAACGTTGACGGGAGGAGAGTAGCTCCTACCTGTAGGAATGTCGCAGACGGCGAAGAGGCCCACGCGTGTGTCTCCATGCACCGTCCATTTCAGGGTCTCGCAGTTGGGCTGGCAGCTGTGATTCATAAAGCGAGAATAGTTCCCTTTTGGCCCAGCGTCGATGATGCGGTCCTGGAAATCAAAGGGCTCAACGTAACAAGGGGCTAATCTACTTAATAACACGTATTATTACGGCAGCAAGAATGGTCTTTGCCCCAAACTGGGAAATTCCACCAGAAGAGGAAGTCGTTAGGAAAATTCTGACTTGTGCTGAAATGGATAAATTGACGTGGGGATTGAAGAACAAAGACGAATCAGGATATTGCAAGATCTGGGATAAATTTTATCGACGGTTGGAAGAAAAAAGGAAAAAGACAAAATAAGCTATGACCACAATTGATAGAATGGAGACTAGAATTATGTATGAAATCATCACAGTGAAAATGTGCAAGACAAGAGCAAAGCAACATGGATGGAAATAGGATATGTTTGTAAATGCTGAATAGACCAATTGTAAATAAGCCTGGTGGTCATAATATTTAAATTTTTATTCTCGTATGTATGGCAAAGACATTGTGCCAGGACAGTTACACGGGGTCCAATGTTTTAATGTGTGTTTAATAAAAAAACTTTTTTAATTAAAAAAACAAAACAAAAAAAAACACCCCAAAGTGTTCAAGCAAAAATCTGATTTATGGCAGCACCATTTCAACAGACCTAACTAAATTAAGACACCTGGGAAACATATAGAAAATGTGTCAGAAATATAATTGTTCTTGGGTTTAGCTTGGGAAAGGAAGACTAAAGGTTGGTTTCTTTGGCTATCGTGCCTTGAGACGAATTACACAGGGAAATTGTTTTTGCATCTTCAATGAAGACTGCAAAGGAATTGGGTTCCTTCCTGTTTTTAAAAACAAACCTTGATCGCCCTTTCTGGAAACGCCAGGAGGGCAGAGATGCCCTCCAGGAAGCATTTCCAGGGCTTGGACTACGGAAGGGCAAAAAGGCAAGCGAGGTTCTTTCTCCCCAGCTATTAGTTCCTTCAGAAACAATTTCCACTTAGTTCCAAAGTAGGTGAAGAGATTGAAGCCTCAGCTTTTTTGGACCAAAGCATTTGTACATTTGTACAAGGAAAGTGCTTCAGTATGGGACAAAACCCCTACTGCCCACCACGAAAGCTGGAAGGCCCACTCGTGGGTGGTAGGGACCAGGTTAACTACCACTGGTATAATGCAAGCTTTTCTCCTACAATTCAGATTATATTATTGAATTGTTACTATATTCAATTCAGAGTGTAATCCAATATACCTCTACGTAAAAGTGAATGCCACGACGCATAATGGGATTTTCACCAAGATATGTAGATATAGGACTGTGCAGAGTTAATCGTGACTCAAAATTGGGTGTCAAAGGAATATTACCACTTCCTCTTCCCCTGATTTCTACCCAGATATTTGAACTCATTCTTCAGCCAAGGTGGAGTTGATCCCTAGGCTGATTGGTGGTGTTTTTGAGGTAGGGTTTTTTTTTTCTCCACAGAGAGAATGGGAGTCTTGCTATTATTGTTGAATAAAAAGCGAGTTTATAACTTCCGGTGTTTATGGATTTAAGATCTAAGCTCAACTAGGGGGGTGCCAAGCTAAGCCTCGTCAGAATACTGTACCTTATCGATGGTGAGCATGTAAAAGTGCGTGATGTCGTTTTCATGAGCATATTTGATTCTCGCCATGCATTCTCCTTCGTCAATCACCTCCCCAACATACTCGTTCACGAACTCACCCTGGAGGAGACAAAACCGCAGCTGGTGCTCAACGGAAGGAAACCGGGAGACACGGAGGCTGCGCACAGCCCCCAAATCTCACCAGTTCTTCCGCTGATAATAATGAAGTCAGATCCCAACGGCTGCGTATTTTGGGCTCTCTTCAGGTTCCCTTTTCCTGGCCTTCGTATCCTATAGTCCTCAGACTATGACGACAATGGAGCCCAAAATGTATGTTGTTAAGTGAGACATATTAAGTGAGCTTTGTCCCATTTTCCGACCTTCCTTGCCACGGCTGTTAAGTGAATCGCTGCAGTTATTGAATTAGTAACCCAGTTGTTAAGCGAATCCGGATTCCCCACTGACTTTGTTTGACAGAAGGTCGCAAAAGGAGATCACATCACCTCAGGATGCTGCAACCGTCATAAATATGAGTCAGTTGCCAAGTGTCTGAATTTTAACCACAGGGATGCTACAACGGTCGTAAGTGTGAAATACAGCGCCAATACCCCCCCCATCCTGTTGTAACTTTGACCGCTCACTAAACGGGCTGTTGTAAGTCGAGGAGTCCCTGTGTATACATTTTGAGCCACAGGGAAAAGAAATAAACGCCCCAAAAGACCCCCGAGGAATTCTCGCTCCCGGGAAGACCGGTGCCCCCCCCCCCCCGGCTGAGCCCCTCCAGCCCCCAACCCCCTACCTTTTTGATGTCCCTCTTGGCGACCAAGCCCCAGCCTTTGCCCTCCGTGCGGATGGTCTTGGTCTCGGGGTACTGGCGCTTGGTGAAGCACTGGTTCTGGCAGCGCTCCCCGGCCGGGCAGACCTGCGGGTGGCACTCGTACATCAGCATCCGGTTGAGGCACTCGGAGTCGAGACCGCAGGGGTTTTCATCGGAGGGTTTGCAGTTGCACTTGGGGATCTCCGAAATGTCCGCCGTGTAGATCTGGACCCTCCCGAAGGGCTTGTTGACCTGGCACACCAAAGAGGCGGAGCTGGTTACGTCCCTCCCAAAAAGGCCCACAAAGCCCCCCACGACCTGACCTCACTGACCCACGCGAGCCCTTCCCACTGGCGCGTATTTTGCGCCTCTCTTACTCTCTACCACTCCCTCTGCTTTTATGGGACCTCAAATGCGTTTATGGCTCCTGGTGTGGCTCAGGGGCTTGACGGGTCTTTGGCCTCCAAGATGGCCGGAGAGCAGCAGAGCTCCGGTCCTACCTCCCCTGCCCTGCTTCTATTTCCCCAGCAACCCCCGTGGGCCCAAAGCCTCTCTCCAGCCGACAGGAGGGTGGAATCCGGCTAATCCCAACCCAGTCAGCCTCCTCCTCCTCCTCCAGCTGGAAAGAGAAGGACCAACCGCGAAAGGTTGCACTGAGGGGCAAGAGAAACCAGGAGAGGCCTAAAGGTCTCTGGAGTGGCTGGAGGAGAGAAGGAGGGCTAGCCAGACCCTTAGCCTGCTCTGCTGTACGGAAGGGCCCGTTTGAGACCAGAGAGAACCAAAGGAAGGAATCTCTTCACCCAGGGGTTTTTTTTATACTTCACGTAGACAGAAAAATATTATTAACTCCAGATAATAAAACATGCCATTCGATTTATTGAATGCTTTTTGGATGTGAGGATGTCTAATTCCTGCTGAATTAGAAGAAACCCCTCTCCTGCCAGCAAATATTTCCCTTTAAGTAATTGCTAAAGAGGGGTTTATTTTTAAAAACCTAATAGTTGCTCTGTTCTGTTTCCCATAAGTTTTAACACTCTATAAATCCAAATACCTTCCAGTCATCATTCAGCTTGCCAAGTAGGACTAAAACCCCTTGGGAATATCTTATCCCTTCTCCAGCACATTTCATTTAATAAATTAAGCTATTCTGAATATAATAAAAAGACAATTAAAAACTTTATCCCTAAGAAATACACTCCCGTACTTAAAAATGGCCCTTTGCCCTGACGATTGATACGAGTCTTTCCACAGTTAGGCTAAAGTTGACCCAACTCCCCTATTCTCCTTCACCCCAGAGCCTCACCGGACTGGCTAACTTGGGGGGTCAGAGAGGGACCAGCCCCGTCCTTCAAGGCATCTCACCTTGATATGCTTGTAAGGGGGAGGTTTGCGTTCATTTTCTTGCGTTTCCTTGGCTTCCCGTTGAAATTTTATCTCTCGGAAGCGGGTTTCCGCGTCTTGCAAAGCTTTAAAAAGAAAGTTGTTAAAATTACAACCACACATATTTCCTATAGGAATAGGCCTCCATTTCATTAACTGCTTGGATCCGCAACTCTATTGTATCAGTTCATCACAAGATGGTAGGTTCTCGGGAAGAATGCGGTGCGTCTGAAGACCAACACCCGCTCAAGGACCGGCATCGGTGATTTCACACGGCTGTGTAGACTGTAATGGAGCTACTGGTCTTGATTTCACAACTCAGGCATTAAACAACCACAGCGGTTGATTAAATGGGCCCATGGTTTGCTGGAGGCAGAGTCTTACAGCAATGTACAAAGCACCTGAAGTTTGGCCAGGTGACATGGGGGGGGGGACCTTTAGAGTTTCAAATCCAGCCCCCCCCCGGTAAGTCTGTTGCAACTTCCAATGTTTGCTAAACGATTGGCCACAAGTCAAGGATCACCTACTGTAATGATTCCACTCATATTGCCTCCAACCTCACTGACCCTGCTTAGCTTTTCAGAAATCAACCACGTTTAGCTAGGTGCTCACCGGGTGCAGCATAGTAAAATACCACGGTCCCAACTCGCGGGCGAACGCCAGGGCATTCTGATTCCACGCGAGAGAAATCGGCCACAAGGCAGGAATGGCCAATCACCTCCAATAGACCGATTAGATCCCACAGATTAGGCCTCCTCTGAATTCCATCTGCCGGCCAATGCCGACTGGCGACCACCTGGAGGAGAGCCTTCTCTGTGGCTGCTCTGGCCCTTTGGAACCAGCTCCCCGTGGAGATTCGAACCCTCACCACCCTCCAGGCCTTCCGCAACGCCCTTAAAACCTGGCTGTTCCAACAGGCCTGGGGCTAATTGAGCTTTTGTCCCCCCCTCGAATTGTATGGTTGCTGTGTGCTTTTTAAATTATGGTATTGTCTTGTTTGTCTTTTTATTCCTTATTTGTACACACACACACACACACCCCTTGTCTGGGGGTGTGACGCGCCCTGAGGCCCCTTCAGGGAAAAGGGCGGCATAGAAATATAATACATTCAATTCAATTCAATTC